CCTTTCTCCTGCTCAGCCAGGCCTCCCAGGCTCCCTGGGCCCCCAGCGGCAGGACAGGGATCTGCACACAAGGGGGCGCCCAAGTCCAGTGTCAGGTCCAGAAGTCCCCAATTTTCTTAGTCTATGGACAAGACAAAAGCAGGTTTCCAGGTCATTACAGCTGATTCCCAGATTATGGGATGATCCCCAAATATAGAGGTTCCTTCAGTCTCGGATGGATCCTTGGACTCCAGAGTCTCTGTACTTTGTTTCTGCTTCTGCTTCGAGGGAATTAACATTCAATTCTACCCAAGGAGCCCAGGGCCTCGCCCAAGAAAAGGACAAGGTTCCAGGAAAACACCAAGACCCGGGGCCAAACCCCCATCCACGTCTTGCAGCAGGGGGGAGCAGGAGTGATCAGAGCCGGGGAGAGACCCGGGGAGCTGGTGGTGGTGTGTGGTGGATCATTGGTGGAAGGGCCGCACCTAAGAGAACAATAACTATAGAAAGATGACCCACGCTGTAAGGAAATAAATAAATAAATATACATCTTTTAAAATTCTCCATCCCTGAATGAGGGGAGTTGAGGAGAGCCCCCAGGGCATGACTAGGAAGACGGGGAGGCTCCTGGAAATGGAGCAGAGGATGAAAATGGGGACTAGGGATGGGGGCCCAAAAGGAGTGGGGGGGCACCAGGAAGGGTGGGGCCAGGAAGGGGCAGCGTCGGGGACACTGTGAGGGGAAGGTCTGTGTGGGAGACAAGGCTCTGGCTGGGGCTGGGAGAGTCTCTGTCTCCCCTGGTGGGACTGCAGAGGGGCTGGAGCTGTAACTGACCAGGGAATCACTTAAGTTCTGGGCCTTTCCTGTCCGTGCAGGGCTGGTGTGACTCAAACACGCACACTCAGGCTGATGAAGGAGAGAGAGGAGAGAGGACAGATGGTTAGGAGGAGGCCCCCATTTCCTGAGCCACAACATCCTCCCCAACTCCCCAATGCTGGGGTGGCAGGGAGATTCCTGGAATCAAGAGGAGGTGATTCAGGGATCAAGAGGAGAAAGGCCTGTGCTGCTGCCTGGAGGCCAGCCCTGGGGGATGATTCTGGGGCTCCAAGGCCCCACTCCCAGGCTGCAGGTTAGAGTCAGCCCTGCTCACAGCTCCAGGCTGCTGACAGCCCCTCTGTGCCGTGACCCTGCAGACACCGCTCTGGGGATAGTATAAAGAAAACAAAACAGCAAAATTAAATGGGAATCTAAAAACGGTAGAAATGATTTTTTAAAATCACGTATTTTGAAGGACACTTCAGAGGACGTGGAATCCTTGTCTGACAGCTCATTGCAATCAGGACCTTGACAGTCACGTGAGCTACTCTGGCCTCCACTGTTTCTTGTGAGAAAACAGCCACTGATCCCTTTATTGCCTGAATATTTTACTGGTTTGTACCAAATCACTTCCTACTTTGCACCTAAAACAAAGATCTGGTGTCTCCACAGTCTCTGAGGGGAGGCGGCAGGAGGGGCCTCCCTCAGAGGCTCCAGCTCTGGGTCCCACGAGGCTGCGATGGGGACGAGATGTTGGCGGATCTTAACGGCCATGATTAGCATGGAAGGACCTGCCTCAGAGCTCCTGCATGTGGCTCCTGGAGAAAACCCTCAGGTCCTTGTCCTGTGGGCGTCCCCTTAGCTGAGGGTCCACCGTGTGCAGGGAGTCACCCCAGAGAGGGACCAGGAGGGGAGCCCGGGCGGGAAGTCTCAGCCCCTGTGAGCCTGACTCTGTGACGTGCGCGTCCCTTCTGCTTCATTCTCCTCACGAGGAAGAGCCAGCAAGTCACACACACTCACGGGGGGAGCTGTCTCCCCTCCTGTGTATCCCAGAATGGGTGGAAAATTGAAAACCAACACAGTAGACCTTCTGGACACACATTATTTCCATTCTGCCACATAAAAATAAGCTGCCTCCCACCCAAGGCCCCTAAAAGTCTCTCCCATCACAGAAGCAGCGTGATGTCAGCATCTCACCGTGTGACTCAGGACCATGCAGATGAGGCGCCTTGAGAGCATCTGTGCAGTGAAATTGTCTGTGCTCAGCTCCTTGTGGGCTACAGCAGTTTTCCCATAAGCCCTTGATGAAGATACAGTGGAGGACAGACACAGGGCAACTTGTAGACCCATTTTTTAATGTTTTAAAAACAAACTTATTGAGAGATAACTTTTGGCCATTTTGTCATCTGTTGAAGGCTCACCTGTCATGTCCTTTTGGTAAGTGCAGAGCAGAGCAATCATCCCATACTCTCCCTTGAGAACATCTCCATCACCACAACAACCTTGTTTCCTGGACCTGGGCCCATGGGGACCACCCCCACTTCCCCCTCCCCAGCCCTGGGCAGCCAGAGCCCACTCTCTGCCTCTGGGGATGGACCAGGGAACTTCTCTCTAAACACATCCCAGGCGACTCAGCTGACACAGACCTGCAGTGGACATTTGGGGTACCCTAACCCAATGCATGCTGGTGCCCAGGAACATACTCCACAGGGTGTTAAGGTCACAGAGAACCACATGACCCCACCCAGGAGGCGCTGCAGCCTGGGGTGTGTGAGGAGAGAAGGGCTGCAGTAGCTGCCTCAGAGGGGGTCAAGGCAGAGCCAGGGAGGTTCCTTCCTCAGCAGGAAGGGGACATGGGAGCTGGGTCTTGAAAGCCACATGTGGGCACAGGAACAGAAGTGGCTCAGGGAGCTGATGGAAGGCCAACTACATGACCTCAGCAGTGACTTTCTCCATGTGACCTTGGAGATCCCTCCCCAGCACTCTGTGAACTGGGAAGTGATACTGTCCTGACACCCCTCCCCCACACCCTCTCAGAAACAAGGACATGGAGACTGAGGGGTTATGGCAGTGCCCAGGTCAGAACCCCAGCCACCTGGCTAATGTCTGGGCCTCTGGACCGACACCATCCTCCAAACTGACCAGGGGACCAAGGAGGCAGTGACCCTGGAGCCCTCACCACCCGCTCCAGATACCACACATTTCTTGGCTGGATTTGACTAAAGACAAAGCGCAGTAGTAAGTCATCATGTCATCACCCTTCATGGATAGGAATTGAACTCACCAAAGAGAAAGACACAGAGTGACTGGTTGTACCAAAAACAAAACCCAACTTTATGCTGCCTCCAGGAGACAGGATCAAAATAGCCCCACTGCGGGAGACAGGTATAGGCCAGGATGCTTCAGGAGCTGCCCAGTGTGGACAGTTCACACCCCCACTGCTGGAAACCAAGACAGGATGAGGATCCTGCAGGCGTGACTGTATTTTTTTTTATATTCTTCTTTTTTTATTTTTTAACTTCACTTTTCACTTGTAACACTATTTGCTTTCCCCCCCCCCCTCAGGTGTAGTCCCCATAGAGTTTCCTTCTCCAAGGCACCCGTGCACCATCACCTCAGTCCCTGTGCTCCTCCCTCCCTCCCTCTGGTCCTCTGCACACTGGGGATCAGAGAGAGACTGAGACAGGGACACAGAGGAATGGGGCAGGGACAGAGAGGCCGAGAGGGACAGGGACACACACAGAGAGTGAGATGAGGACAGACCAAGAGGGGGAGAGAGACATCAGAGGGACATACAGAAAGAGAAAGGGAGAGTCAGCCAGTGAGGACAGGGAAGGAGACAGAAGAGGCCTCGCTGGCATCACTCACTGTTGGAGTGGACCACCCCTGCCCTGGGTGGCCTCGTCCCAGTCAGAACTCAGTCCCAAGTCGATACAACCTCCAGGCAGGTGGGCAGGTGTGTGAGCAGGGAGGGGTCCTGAGAAATCTGTGGCCGGCAGGTGTGCACTGTCTGTGGCCCTGGCACCTTGACTGGGCCCGCAAGGCCCTGTAGGGCACGGCCAGAGAGGAGCAGGGCTGACAGGCACACTGGGTGGGAGGACAGGCACCCCAGGTGGGAGATGACTTTGCCCCCAGCAGGTCTGGCCAGGCCTGGGTGAGGCATATGCAGGTGCCCTTCTCCAAGTGGGACCCTTCAAGTGCTGTGAGCCTGACACCAGCCTCCCCTCCAGGGGCAGCAGAGAGTGACCCACTCCCCAGGACCGCCCTGGGAGAGGCTCCACACTCTGGAGCTCCTCTGGGCCCATGGGAGACAGGAGCCTGGAGTTGCCGATGCTGCAGGGCCTGCTCCCTGGCAGGGAGGATGAGCCAGGTCAGCAGCCAGAGACCAGAGTGCCCAACAGGGGCCCTGGCTACGTCTCGCCATATCTCGCCATCCAAGGGCTCAGGAAGGCTATGCTGCTGTCAGTGTTGTGGGCTGGGCCTGGTATGGAGGGTGAACAGGAAGTGGCCCAGGAAGCCATGGGATGGGGGGGGCATCTGTCTGAGCAGGAAGTCCAGGGAAGGGGACCCAGGAAGTGACATCACCTCCAAAAGATGACAGGGCACACATCACGTCGGAACCCTGGTCCCCAGGCAGTTGGTTCTGAACCAAACCTGACCCAGCTCACCTGCCTGGTGGGCCTGGACCCGGCACCATATTTTGTTGCTGTTTGCCCAGGTCTCCCTGCAGTGGACCCAAAAAATTTCCCTGAAACTCGTGTCGCACTCTGCTGAAAGGCATGAGGAGCCTGTGTCGACGTCTCTGGCCAGCACCAGCACTGCCCCTGAGGAAACTAGGGGGGCCCTCGGGACAGGTCAGGCCACACCAGGGCTCTGATGCCCCCACCCCTCCCTTCCCCCTGTGAGTGCAGGTGTGCGTGCGGTGAGAGTGAGTGTGTGCGTGCTCCAGGAAGGAGGGTCTGGCCCACCCAGGAGGTGGGTCATGTCTACACCAGAACCAGCCTGGCTGGTGGTGGGACCCAGAGAGTCATGGCTGCTCCCTCTTGCCCCAGCTGGTTGCTACCTAGCAGGTGTGTCTGTTTGCTCCCAGAGGGTGTTCTGTGTCCAGGAAGGTGAAGAGATCCAGAGAGTGCATTTCCCCGACTGTCCTTCCACAGCCCAGCGTGGGATCTGTCCCAGCACAGAGCCCAGGTTGAAGTGTACCCGCAATTTGAGATTGGGTCACATGTCCAAAGGAACTGGCTGGAGTACACAAAGCCCCTGGAGGAGCTGTCCGAGGGTAAGTGGCACAGGATGGTGCATGGGCCCTACTGGGCGGGGTAGAGTCAGGTGCCCCTTGGAGGAGACCACACGGGCTAGATTCGGACCACGAGCAGTATGACCTGGCATCTGTAGCTGCTGAATTTGGAAACAGAATCCCAGGGGCCCCCTATCTTGGGCTGGTTTCTGCTCAGGGCTCTAGCATGTGGTCTGTTTGCAAAAGCAAGTGGCAATCTGGCATGTGGCTGATGGCCTGTCCTCTTGCATCCTTAGCCCCTTCTCAAGGAGCACAGCCAGGCTTCCCTGCTGCCCATGGGACAGGCCAGGAGACCAGCCAAGTTGCTGACTGGAGACAAGCAGACACTAGGGGTCCTGAAGGGACAGGAGAAGCCGCTCCTGCATATGCTGTTCCAGAGCAACAGGAGAGCCCAGCAGGCCTGCTGGGTCAGACAGACAATGCCCAGGATGCTGTAGGCGTCCTGGGCATTCTGAGCTCACTAAACCCCTGAATAGTCAGCCTGAAACTCCCCAGATTCCAGCAGGATGTCCCCAGGCTGCTGAGCTAATACCAGCCCTGCTGGGGAAACCAGGCCAGGACCTTAAACTGTGGGACAACCTGCTGGGCACAAGCGAACACCACCTGTTTGCGGGGAGCCAGGCCCTAGCCAGGCCCCAGCAGGGCAGCTGGCAGTGGTGTGTTTACACCAGCCCCACTGTGGGAGACAGGTATAGGCCAGGATGCCTCAGGAGCTGCCCAGTGTGGGCAGTTCACACCCGCCCTTTCTGGGGAAGCCAAGACTGGTGCAGGATCCCGAAGACTTCTTTGAGGATTCTGAGATAAGAGGAGTGCTGCGGGAGGAACCAGACAATGACCAGGATACTGAACCCATGGGGACAGTGCTGAGCTCACTCCACCCCTGCGGGACAGCCAGGCCCTGGTCAGGAGAATGCAGCCTACGCAAGAGCGTCCTGAGCTCAAACCATGCCTGTGGGAGGAAGCCACTTCTGGCCAGCATCCTGCAGGTTCCAGTGAGGGTGCTAAGCCACAGCAGCCCTGCCTGGGGAACCAGCCCCTGCAGGGATCCTGCAGCACAAGCAGAGGGTGCTCACCTGATGCCATTCCTCCAGGGTCCCATCCCTGACCCTGTCCTGCCTGTCCACCTCTGGTGCAGACTAAGCACCGCTGACCCCAAACCTCTCCTCACCCACCTCCCTAGCCACATGTCCTCGTTTAACTTCTACTAACCCTGCACCCACAGACACCTGGCCCTCCTCTTGTAGTTCAAATCTTTGTTTCCTAATTGATTTCAAGTTGTTTTCGTTTTATTTCCTCCAAGGTTTCTTGTTCATTATGGAAATACTAATAAAGTTTGTTTTGTATCACCCAAGTTTTTTTACTCCTTTTGAGTCCAGTTCTGTCATAGTGCTGGCCTCCTTCTTGCTATGGCCTTGCAGAAGATCTACAACTAGTGTAAACCCTTTAGTCAAACCACTCACTGCCCAGGCCCCTCAGGCCCTGATTCCCTCACATGCCTGTTGCCTCTGTTCTGAATTCTACCTGGGCGTTTTACAGAGAAGGAACCAAATAAGTGGTGACCTGGGATCTTCCCAAGTACACAATAGAGGTAGTACACATGGTAGGTGTGATGCAAATTTGGTTTGTTGGGCCTCCCTGGTGTCCCAGGGGTGAAGTCTCAGCGCTGTTACCACTGAGACCTGAGTCTAGCCCAGGCTAGGGAGCTGACCCTCCTAAGGCTCAGCAGACTTCTGCTATCTCCCCTTAGCAGTGTCTTTCAGTAAATCTACCTGTTCTGCTTCCTACTCTGTCTCCGGTGAATCCTCTCATTCCGGTACAGCTTCAAGTCTACACTCTAGTTCTTCTCTGCAGAAAGAAAAAAAAAAAATGGGGATGCTCAATTTAAGTTAATTGGTAGGGTTTTGCAAATGAGCAATATCTATCAAATCAGCCATATGTCATTACATAAGTATAATCAAGAAATCATGATTAATGTCTACATCAGTCCATGTTAGGACATCCATTTATAAGAACATATGTTTTAGGAGGAAGATATTAAGATTAGAGATGTAATGGGATATCCAGGGCTACAATTTCATTAAATAGCCTCACCCAGGAGCGCCCAATGAGACAGTGAGGAGTGGCAAGAGTTGCAGGCAGTGCCCTGATGACTTAATTTGAATGGTGGCAATTTGACCTCCCTCCGTTATGGTTATAAAATAGACTCCTGGCAGTGGTTTGTGACTTTCTTAATGATGAAAAGGAGCAAGATGAGAAGGTGAACGTCAAAGGAAGTTAGGAATTGAGGCATTTTGTCCATGGGAGTGGACACAGGGTGTAAGACCTTTGTGTCTCATGTGAGTCCTCACCTCAGAGAGCACCTCCACAGAGAATGTTCCCTTTGTGTGGACAACAGTGAACCTGTCTCCTTGGTCACCCCAGGGCTGATTCAACAGTCCCTAAAAAAGTCATAAAAATTGAGATCAAGAGTGATTTGATCGTACCTGAGTCCAGAGGCATGAGTTACTTCTCATCATGGGTGATTCATCAGTCACTGCCACTCATGAATGACCAGATTTCCAGTCAAAGAAATCACAGCCAAGCTCTTGCTGTGATTACATCACTTAGTAGACCAGACAGCTACATGGTAACAGGTGCATTTCTTCACCCAGTTTACCCTGTTATGGAGAGTGATTTGTTCTCAAGAATTGACATCCATTCTGGATGTAAGATTCCCTTCCCTGACTGCCAGCATCTCTATTCAAGAGCCAACAGATTGCCTAATTTACCAGCATAGAGCCTATATAACATTGCCTCTGATATATACCATGTGCCTCTGGGCACATTTTATGGTGAAATAAGTATGACATTGGCAGCACGTCTGCAGGAATCACTGATTCTACCATACAGCATGTCACCTGGGAAGTTGACAGCATAATTGAAGGAGGAGAGACATTAAAAACTTTTAACATTTTATCTTGGGCAAAACACTCTGTGATGGTGGAAGGCAGCTTTCAACATGTGTTATACACATTGAAGTAATGGCCAATATATAATCTGTGTTCTAATATCGAGAAAGCATGGATCCTGGAACTAAGAGGTGAAAGAAGGACCAGCCGCTCTCACCATTACTCCTAATGATCCACTGGAGGAATTTATCCTTCTCACCCTACGCCTTTCACCCTATTAGATTAGAGGCTTCCCAGGGATGTGAGGTGGGAGGTGGGGAGGCATATTTGTACCAGCAAGGTTCTGCTGGATTTGATGTTATATCTACTGCCTACGCATTTATATTCCTTGAGCCAGTGAGCCACAATGAACTCTACTGTGATCGTTTTCAGGATAATTGACCCTGATTACTATGAGGAGCTAGGGTTGCTGCTGCACAATGGAGTAAGAAAGGAGCACACGTAGAAACTCTGGAGATCTGGGGCTTCTTGCCAAGTTGAAATACAAGCAGGCCATGCAGAAACCATGTCCTGATGGGGGTGAGGGACTCAGCCTCCAACTCCACAGGGATGAAGAATGTAGGTTTGCTCCAGGGTGAGGGGAATCTGGAATGGGTGTGGGGGAAAGAGACAAAGCACATTGATAATGGTGTTGTGACCACATGCATTTGTGTAGGCTTGGCCCATTAACTGAGTTTTTTGTAGAGCTTGTCACTGACCACCACATCAAAGACCCTCTGACTGACTGGACTCCGCAGAGGGCGTGAGAACATTTGAGTGGTGTAAGGAGTAGACTGTATGGGATATTTCTCAGGCCTCATGTCTTCTATCCCTTCAGTTCACCTTTTTACTGCTATAGTTTATTGTTTCATAGTGAGCAGTTTCATGCAGGTATAACCTTCCACCACCTTAGTCAAGTTGCACCTTATTTGTCACTTTCTGCCTCAGGTCCTTTCTGAAGCCATTCTGTGAGATGACTGCTGCACCGGTCTGGCACCTGCTCACTCATGTACAACCTAGGAGAGGGAATTAATAGCCCCTGTGGCGACCCTCGATCTATGGGAGATAGAAATCAGCGAGTAAATAGGTCCCTCCATCTTTCCTTCCATCGGTGGACAATTCTGAGGTGTATTCCACATAGCTCCTTAGAGGGCCCCACGGAGATTGAACCCCAGTTGCCCATGGCAGTACCCAGGTCAGTAAAGCACCCTGGTATCAACTTTTCTTCCACTCCCTGCTTAATGTTTCCTGTTCCATGGTAATGAACCCAAATAAACTATTTGCATGCAAAACCTCAGGTTTTTTTCTGGCTAAGATAAGATACGTGTGTTACTTGGGGAAAATGGAGATGGGGATAAAGCTGCTGATATGGGTGTGGAAAGGTATCCCAGGAAAATTATCATTTATGCTAAATGCTGTTTATGTAAAAACACATAGATATGTAAAAAGATGCATGCAAAAATGTCGCCAAAATATTAATGCTTATTATTATGGTAAGATGACAAGATAATTTTTATTATATTTTTATATTTCAGAAGTTTCATATTTTATAAATGGTTTGAGTTGTTCACAATGAATGTGTGATATTTACATAATATAATCAGAGAAACGCAGTAAAAATGGGAGTACAAATAATGAGACAATAAATAGATCTTTGGGCCAAGGTGGTATTTCTCACTTTAGACATCTACACATAAAAATCTTTTTTTCCTGAAGCCAGAAAGCAAACCCTTCTCTATAGAAGTAAATAGAAGTTTTACCTTGTCAAAACAAGTGTCAAGGCATGAGCAGAGCCCACTAGTTGCATAGCAAGGGCTGGACTTCAGTCTGAGCTCCACTGAAACCTCTTGCTATCCTCACACACCATCCTCCAACCTTGCTGAAATCACATAACTCCAACTCCCACTTGGAGAAAAAGAAAAAAAATGTCCTAAACTCTTAGGCATTTGGTATTTCCTCAAAATTCTTACTTATGAGCAATAACAAGAGGAATTAAATTGGCTTATTTGTTCCAAAGGCTGATTTGGGCACTGTGAGGAATGATGCCATCTATTTACAATTTTCTTTCCTCCGCTGTCCCGCCCTCTGATCCACAGTTTCAAGTCTTTTATTTATAATTGTCCTTAATATAGCTTGGTTCAGTTCCTAACTAGAACGTGCAGTGGGAAGGAATTGAGACAGTATTTTTGAGAGGTGGGGAAAGTGATTGAACCCCTTTTATGAACTAGGATTTGAATTTTAGAAAATATAGGCAACTTCCTATTTCTTTTTAAAGATTTTTTTATTTATATAAGAACTGGAGTATAGTCAGTCATGGGAGGGTGAAAGAATTCACCAGAGACAGAGTGGGGAGCAGAACAGGCAGACAGACAGAAGACACTGCTGAGGGCAGCAGCGGGAGAGGCAGGAGAGGTCTGCTGTGCCATGTGGGTTTCTCCCTGGGCGGCCGGGAATCAAACCCACACTGCAGAGGCTGCGGACAGCTTCACAGTGCAGTGCTCCACCCGCTGCACCACCAGGGAGGCCCACAACTTTCTATTTCACATCCCTCACAGAAGAAATCTTCAGGGTGAAGATTCTAAGTATGAAGGATTTTGAAATGTGTCCTGGAATGAAGAAGGTTGGGGAAATCAGTTCCAAAATCATCAGGTGACAGCAGCTTCAAATATTATTAAATCCTGACTTGAGAATTGAAGAAAATTTCCCACTGGGGAAAAAAAAAATGGAATGAAATTTGATACTTGGCACTTGATTCTACAATCCAGAAGAAAGAAAAGGCAAACTTCCTGCAAACATCAGTTTAGAGACTTAAGCACACCAGAAGCATCTTTTTTTAACTTCAAGATGGATGCTTCTACCACCCTGTGGCGAT